CGGACAGCGAGTCTCCTGCAGGAGTTCAGCTGGGAGGTGTTTGATCATTCACCCTACAGCCCGGACCTCGCTCCCAGTCATTTCCATCTTTTCCTACACCTCAAGAAATTCCTGTCCGGTCAGCGTCAGCGTTTTGAGAATGACAGAGAGGCGGAGATGGTTGTCACACAGTGGTTCCAATCCCAGGCGGGCGACTTCTACGACACAGGTATTCAAAAGTTGGTCCCACGGTATGACAAATGTCTCAATTCCGGTGGCGAATATGTTGAAAAATAGCTGGACACTTGCTGTATCTGTTGCAATAAATATTTCCATGAAATTGTGTTTTGTTTCTGTAAACGGCCCCAGGGAAACTTACATTGTGGACGAGCCTCGTATAAGTCAGTTTATCCTTTCATAATGTAGGAATGTGTTATTCTCCAAAGTGGTCTCTCCTATGAGAGATTTTCCAATAAATATTTTGTGTGTCTTCCATACATGCTATATTTCCAGTTTATCTTGTTCTTTGTTAAGTACAAAAATGTTGATATCCTCAGTATGTATTCCTCACCTGTCCCTTTTATCTGAATGCCTCTCTCTTTTATGGCTGTCAGCAACGCCTGATCCCTCTCTTCTTCCTTTCTTTTAGCCATATTTTGCTTCCGGGCATTTCGCTCTTCTATTTTCTGATGCAAAATACAAGCATAAATACATATTAATTTTAAATGCTGCATGCAATTTCAGAATATGGAACCAAAGATGTACTTAAAATCACAAGAAGGTAACGCACATACTCCAGCAACCCAGAAGACAGAAATCTTCATACTCATCGCCCTGATGACGGAGGCAGTATGACCTCTGAAACGTTGGTTAACATCGACCAGACTACACAGCGCAATAACCCAGAAGACGGATATCTTCATACTCACCGCTGTGAGAACCTCAAGTCCAGATTATTTGTTTTTATCTTTCAGTTTTCAAACTTGTTTTAACTTCTTGAAAATGCTACAGATGCTTGTGAACTGTGATTTTGTCTCTCTCCCATCTGTGTATGACCTATAGCAAATATGGGGAAACAAATCCTCACATTCCCCTTCCCCACTATGATATTACACTGTGCTAACACCTCTCATAATCATTAAAATTATAAATGTGGAACAAGGCTTAGTAGCTCATGATTGTAATGTGTGAATTTAAACCAAGGGAATTTTGGAAATATCTATGTTCTAAATTATTTGTTCATCTCACCTCCATTCACCTGCATCGGCATTAGCCCTTTAAAACCTAGCAGTGTGTACGTGTACCACCAGCTTTAATAATTATTAATTCTGCATTTTGACCACAGAATATATTTATTTGTGTCTGTATAATTCTCTGAATAAACAGCAATTACTTCCTTAAACAGTGTTAAACAATCTTTAAAGTACAGACTAAATGTTTAAATATTATACATACAAGCTTCTGCTTCTAAGGTAAATTCTGATTTTTCACATCTATAATTTGTACCACTGACATGAATTTTCTTTTCACCTTTATGGATACTTTTTAATCAAGTCTATGTATTCTGTTGTCTTTGATACCGCCTTCTCAGGAGCTGGTGAGCACTTTAAAAATATGAGCTCTTTAACGTTACAAACCATCAGAACAATAACTAGAGGGCAGTTTTTTATTATTATACTTAACAATACTTTCTAAAACTGCAGAGGATTACAATACTGAATGAAGAATTGGAATGATGTAGAAAGAAGCAATTGTGATCTATAATTAGGAATTATTTCAACATTTTCTTAGCCTGAGAATCAAACCTGAGACCACATATGAAATAGAAATACTAACTGCAACCAAGATGTATAGTCAGCAATCATGAAATAAGAATCTTATGAGCCCAAATAGAGATTTGTGTATGGCCTTCTGTTTAAAGTCAGAAATAAGTTCTACTGTTATCTAATGGAGAATATGACTATTGACAGATTGATTACACAAACATTTTATTCAGTAATATATTTATTTATTTCCGTCAATACACAAACTTAGTTGTTAAAATTGGTGTTATTAAAGTTAAACTTTAAAATTTGGCGCTTATCATCGCTATTACGATGTTACAATTTTAGCGCTCGTTATTTTATTTCACAACATGTTTCAATGCAATAACAGTCAAAAAACTTGCGTATATCAATTTTTAAATTTAAAACGAAAAATATTGAAATGCAACGCAAATATCAGATTTAATAAACCAATTTTAACAACTAAGTTTGTGTATTGACAGAAATAAATAAATATATTACTGAATTAAACACAAACATGACGCATTTAAACTACAAACATTTTATTATCTAGATGGCAATGTTAACAGTAACTGATTCTTACATTACTTAATGACACATTTCAACTGCAGAAGTTATAATATAAGGGAGATGCAAGTCAGTTGGTAAGAGTTGGAAGGAGTATTCAAAAGAAATATTCTGGCATTCACACTCAAAGACAGAATAAAAATATATAAAAAACCTCAACCAGGATACGTGGTAACCTGGCCAAGATATGAACCACGTACCTCCTGAGTACAAGTCTACTGCTGATAACAGGAACTGTACAGACACACTGTAATATAACTGACTAGCAAATTTGTTAAAACTAACAAAATCAAATGTGGACTAAATACAGAGCATTAATATGTGAAAACGTGCTCCATTGACTCACCTTTCCTGCCATAGCCTTGGCTCGAAGTTCCAGAGTAGTTTTGTCAGTGGGACAATCAACCAGCATCTTCTCACAGAGAGTGATGCAGTCATCGTATCGTTGCAGAAACATGCAGCACTGAGCTGCACGGGCCTGTGCCTTGGAGTAACATGGCCTAATTTTCAGTGCTGCTCGACAGTCAAACAGACATGACCTGAAAGAACACATCCTCGAACATGCCTTCTCAAACCAAACATCTCCCAAAAAAGATCAGAGTTTATCCTTCATATGTCCTCCTGTGTTGTGTTCCTTATATATCAACTGCATAAAAAAGCTTGTTTTGGTGATGTCGATCCAAGGAAATTAATATGCATGCTCTTGAGAGTAATCTGGACTCAAATTGGGAGCAAGTATTTGATCTCCAGCATGATGTTCAATACTGAAAATATTTCTTTTGGGAAAAATTGGTATCTCACAAATACTGCATCAGAAAAAATATATGTGAACAGTACAAATGTCTTTTTCTGACGAGAGCAGCCCAAGAAAGTAGTGGTGAGATGCCACTGGATAAATGGCTAGAGAATTAGTTATGTCATAAAATTAATAAAACCATACAGTAAAAGTATTAAGAACTTCTCTTTTGTCTTTCCATACTACTGCAGTGAAGTCTCACCTGGTTCTAGCTTGCATGTCACCCTGTTTATGTTTTAGTATTTTGCACCAACATAAACATATCCGTATGATCTGGTCACACACTAGTAACAGTTTGCTTTTCTAGTAGTCAGGTTATTAAATAAAACAGAAGAGAAGAAACTATCAATAAACAATTTATACCCAACTCCTTCCACTCTCTGAGTAAGATTTCTCAACAGTTTCATGTGCTACTGTGATGTGTTCAGCTTCAGTCTGTGTGTCTTTTCTTAAGTAACTGTAATGTTGTAGCTCACAGCATCAATAAACTTGTAAATTTTCATGCCTAAATGTTCATGCTTCTTAGATTTTTTTTATTTGTAGTGTTCTGTCTGAGGACAGGTCCATATGAACAGGATCCTTCCATCCTTTTCTCTTCTCGGACTGGGACCTGTTCATATACGTTCTTGGCAGATGATCCAGAAGTGGTTTGCCATTGCCTTCTTCTGTGTGTGAATGGAATAATTGTTGGGATGCCACGGAGGAAAACTCCGCGTTGCCTAGACCACGGCCTTGCCCAACAAAAAATAATGTTATTAAGACGGCTATAATTAGCGTCTCAAATATACAACTCTTAAATAAGGTACCATTACCTATCGTCACTTCAGGTACAAGAATTTGCAACATGGAACATAGGAGTAGAAAATGTTTGTTACATTCAGTCCATATGAACCGGATCCTTCCCTCCTTTTCTCGGACTGGGACCTGTTCATGTACGTTCTTGGCAGATGATCCAGACGTGGTTTGCCATTGCCTTCTTCTGTGTGTGAATGGAGTAATTTTTGGGATGCCACGGAGAAACCGGGGAAGCCCCCGGAGGAAAACTCCGTGTTGCCTAGACCACGGCCTTGCCCAACACAAGTTATAAATTCGGGCACCGCCGGGAATCGAACCCGAGACCCCAGGATTACAAGGCCAGCGTTCTAACTGGTAGACCACCGTGGCTTCCTGCTTCTTAGATACTGTTTAAAAATTACCCACCTTTTGAATTTTACAACAATGCCAAATATTCAGAGGGGCTGTAAAATTAAGTAAAGGAAGCATTTAGCATTTATCAATACACACAGTCTTGTCAGGGCTTTGCTACTGTCAGATATATTTAAAAAGCACAAAATAAGAAGGTATTTCTCACACTTCTAAGTATTACTGTAAAATGGCACGATAAAACCTCATACACACACATGAATGGTTTCAGGATGTTCAACATGTCCTACTGTATTTAAGTTATCCAGCAAAATTGCTTATGACTGTGCATTCTTTGGATTTCTAAATAATAAAATACTGTAAATAACACAAAGTCACACATACACACATGTTGTAGCCACTGTGACTGATTCATGTCTACATTCTGGTTTCATTAACATTTACAGATACTGCAACACCCACAAAAGGCAATTTATAACTATTCAAAATGGTCTGAGAGAAGAACATGTATCATGGTAGGATTTGAGATTTTTCATGACAGTGAATCTGAATATGACCTTGATGATGGAGGCAGCAAGGACCTCTGAAATGATGCTAAACTTCTACCAGACTACACAGTGCTACAACCCAGAAGACAGCCCTCTTCAAAAACGTATCATGGACTGAAAAAGTTAATTAGTAAGTTAGTCTGTGGTCTGTCACCTGTAGTTTTTCAAGAAGAAATGTGCTGCTGCTCGGTTATTATACAATTCTGATTCAAGGTGGGAGTCTCCACATCGCTGCCTTAGTCCTTCTGTGTAGCTTATTATTGCAAGGCGATATTTTTTTAACTTGAAATTATAGTTTCCATCTTCTTTATATGCAGCTGCCAAATCTGTAAGCAATGTGAAGTTTCACATTTACTACATTGTATCAACTATGCAAGTTATTATTATTATTTAGTGTTCTGTCTGAGGACAGGTCCATATGAACAGGATCATTCCATCCTTTTCTCGGACTGGGACCTGTTCATATACGTTCTTGGCAGATGATCCAGAAGTGGTTTGCCATTGCCTTCTTCTGTGTGTGCATGGAGTAATTGTTGGGATGCCACGGAGGAAAACTCCGTGTTGCCTAGACCACGGCCTTGCCCAACACAAGTTATAAATTCGGGCACCGCCGGGAATCGAACCCGAGACCCCAGGATTACAAGGCCAGCGTTCTAACCGCTAGACCACCGTGGCACAGTAACAGATTTAAATTAAATGGCTGAATAATTCTGAGCGATGATAAGAGGAATGACACAGAAAGTGTCTTCATTTGAGCTCATGAGGATTTTTTAAATAAGTCAACCTACTGGCAAGGGTATCCAGATATAGTGAAACCTTGCCACTCTGCAAAAGACTTGTCTCCCATCACATAATTCCAATCTATTGCAAACAGTACCTTGAGGTGTGTTATCAGTTTCACTGTATTTGAGCTGCTGGAGTCCCTCCATTAGTGGTGACAAAGGCTCTCCAGCTTCTGGTGCTTTAGACATGAAGAACGGATGCTTTTCCATTTCCTGCATTTGAACAAAGTGTGATCACACATATTCAAACAAGACAGAATATAATATGCAACAGAAAGGTTTGATTAACCAGTGCTAATATTACAATAATTAGTGCTAAATTTCAAAGTGGGCACAGAAAAGAACTTGGTTATCAAAAACTGACTAAATGATTAATACTACTCCTTTGTATTTGGGACATTCCAGGTTTAATTCAAGTCCATGGGGCTAGCCATCCTAAATGAAGTTTATGTCAGCTCATAAAAGCATATTCTGGGAATGTACTGAACCTAAAAATAAGCTATGGTAAATTTCACATTTTTTTTCCAATTCATGATTCATAATCATCTTCTCCTGTGACAGTCTATGACATATGTGACTGAGAGAGTCTAATTAAACAAACATGAAGAAAGAAAAAGGGAACATTTTTCTACACATGATCAAAAGAAAATGAGTGTGACTTTTCATCTTATGATATGTGCATTTAACAGGACAAGACTGCTGTGATACATGGGTATGTTTTAATGGCTAGTTACCCCAAGTACATTATTTAACAATGCTTACCTACTTCAGAGGTTATTTAGCATCAGATGAGATCAGAGTATAAACTGGAAAGGCTCAGTAAGAAAATGGTCATGACCTATTTTAAGGCATTTCTGACATTCACCTGGCTGAAAAACCATTTAGAATTAATAGATTTTTATCTTTACATTGTAATTACCACCCCACCCCAAAACTTAACCTAACATTTCTGAGCCATGTATTAGACTATCTGAAATATACAGCATTTTAGGACTTACATTAAAGATGTTATATATCATGATTACATTATCCTGAAAACCAATATTTTTGTAGCTTATACAATTTATGGAGTATTTTATCTTTCTGCCCTCTGCCAATATTGGTAATTACTGAATACATTTCTGGGATGGGGAAACCTGGCTCACCTATCACTGGTAATCATAATCCTGCCTTGCTTCTTCAGTTACTACAATATCAATTTTTAAATCCTTACTGATGGGGTACAAGATCAATCCCTGTATTCAATCGTCACTTTATATTTGGGGACAGATAAGGCAGAGGTTCTAACAAAGTAGCTATTGCACCTGTAGTACAATGCTGGTTTTACTCTGTGCTGTCGGTAAAGTCTGAGATTCGTGGTCAAGCCCTTGAAAGGTAGCCAGTAGAATGATTGTGGAGATGGGTGGATAACATTACAATGAAGCTTGGAAGAGTTAGTTAAGAGGATGTGAAATGGCTCCAAGAACAAGGTATAGCAGTTAATCCCTTTGGGTTATTACCACAGCACAAAATTCTGACAAAACAGATGGAGGTCTGAGAAATTTAACTCTTACATCCCATTTTGTTGAAAAGTTACTAATCAGTGACATTTACTATTACTGTTTTTTCACGAGACATTTCTGTGTCAACATTACATCTTGTCATTTTTTGGCACACTGACTTAAAGCGCAAGTTACGGTACGAATCAGCTATCAACGAGGTGGTACTGTTCCCAATAAGTACTTCTTGGTTGGATTAATATGGCTCGACTTTCAGGAAATAATGTAACATGAATTTTTATCACGAATTGCTACCTAAGGTTCAGAAATATTAGAAAACAACTGGATGCAAGCATCTAGTATCACATCACTACAGCAACTTTCGGTAATGGTACGTTTCGTGGTATGAAATCTAACCTCTTCCCAACGGTCTTCTGGCCATCCTTCGGTATATGATCGTTTTTCTAATCCTCCAATAAATTCATCCAATTCCTGATCCAGTTTTTCAGCTAACTTCTTCCGTTCTTCATTTGACATAGTCATCTTTCTTTTACTAATGGAGTGTCGAGATTCTACATCTATTTAATAAAATAAAAAAGTTGACAGTGGAACCACGGTTACGGAGAATCTGACGCAAATACGTCTCTGTAATGTAATGTAATATAATGTAATGAAATATAATGTAATGAATTGTAATGTAATGGAATGTAATAATTCTGATATAAGATAAGTACTTGTGATATTCTAAAACGTTTTTACCAGCACAAAATTATCTAGTCTACGGCAATAATGCAACACAGCAATGCCGAGTAAACAGATGACGCATAAATTAGTTTCTTAGGTAAAATAACAATACACGCAGGAGTTCATATAAAAGCTGACCATTGTTGTCGGTCGATATTTATACATTGTTGATAAGGATCTTACACATCTTCGTTACGCTTTTTTTGTCGAATGACCCTTCCGTATAGACGTACTTACGTCAATAAAATACATCATTCAACACAATCGAATTAGTAATCTGTGACCTACACTTCTGTGCGGAAATTTGTCTCCCACATGTGTAATATGTTTCCTTTAGGATATGTAAGTTATGTGGATGTAGTTTGAAATAATCGCATTATTTACTGAAAATAAATAACGTATACAGAAGAGAATCAGCTGATACTTCAAATCACAGCATTTAAACCTACACAGAGAGACATATAGTACCTCAAACAATGACGATGAGAGTTTGTTACATATGTTTCGCTTTGTCCTAACGCTATTTTAAGGAAACAATTGATTCATTAAGATGAAGTATTACAAGCGCTTCTTCTTTGCCAGTAAAATATATTAAAGCTTCTCTGTTAATTAATCTTGGGAACAATGTCATTAGTAATATGTGACGACACACTAACAACCTTCATCCTTGACACCCCTTGGTTATTACCCAATCCGCACATAGTCTATTTGGACTCAGGCTGGACTTGCGTAACTCGTAGAAGGACTTTCGTACAGTGAGATTATTAGAATAGGCTGCCAAGAGGACGTTTGGTGACCTCTAAAGACCACCTTAAAAATGGTATATTTTTTGAGCAATTATCCTTACATTTTAAAAAGCTTCTTTGTCAATTTAATGTAAAACAGAGTGTGTGTTTATTTTCTGCAATTTAGTTACCTTTTTTGTGTATAACAGTACTTTACACTTATGAGACGACCTTTGCCGTGACCGTATGTGTTCGCAGTATGTAAGGCACAAAACATAATTTATACAGGTTTATTTTTAATTTACTTGCAGAGTTCACCAATCCGTGTTGTTGTAACCGGTGCAGCAGGTCAAATTGCCTATGCCTTGCTGTATCAAATAGCCAAGGGTGATGTCTTTGGAGCAACTCAGCCAATTATTCTTCATTTATTGGATATCCCACAAATGATGGAAGTATTGGGTGGAGTAGTTATGGAAATAAAAGACTTAGCATTGCCACTGGTTACAGAAATTGTTCCTACTGCTGATCCTGCAGTAGCCTTTAAAGATGTTGAAGCTGCTTTTCTTGTGGGTGCCATGCCTCGCAAGCAAGGGATGGAGAGGAAAGATCTCCTGTCGGCAAATGTTAAAATTTTTAAAGTTCAGGTATATAAAATATAGTATTTATTACTGGTATGTAACTTTGATTACTTTATCAAAGTCCAAGCGAATCAGGTAGAGCTGAAATTGAATGGCATATATCAGGTACTTGCTAATGGTTTTAATATTATAATTTTCAACCATTATCAAGCCAGGTTATGGGTGTAATTGTTTAAATATGTTTAATTGTACTTTTTAACTGTAATAAGTATAAATATAAAAATAGCATTGATGGACACATGACATAAAGATTGTTTTGAGAGCATGGGTAAGGCATTTTACTGTTTCACAGGTGTTCATCATGTTTTGGCATTACCTCTAGAAAAGGAACTATACTTTTAAATGCTGCTTATTTTATTTGTATCGCAGGGAGAAGCACTTGACAAATATGCCAAAAAGACGGTAAAGGTGCTAGTGGTTGGTAACCCAGCAAACACAAATGCACTGATATGCTCTAAATATGCACCTTCAATTCCTCGTGAGAACTTCACAGCAATGACACGTCTTGATCAAAATCGTGGCCGTGCTCAGATAGCAGAACGTCTCAAAGTGAATGTAGGACAAGTTCAGAATGTAATAATATGGGGCAACCACTCAGCTACTCAAGTTCCAGATGCTAACAGTGCAATTGTTAATTTGGGATCAGGTCCTGTACCTGTGACAGATGCCCTAAAGAGTGATGATTGGCTGAAGGGAGAGTTTATAACAGTAAGTAGACACTAATTTGTAGTGTAATAGCATGAATGTTCGCTAATGTATTGAGTATATAAATCTCTAAAGATGCAAGCATGTGATAGAGAAATGAGTAGTATTGGTTATTTTGTAAAATTAGCAGTTTCAACCTTTCAAAGCCGACATTTCTCCAAATAATATTGTATTTCTGTGCCTTCCACAGAAAAGTGTCTATTACAAAGGTAGATTGTTCTGTCAGTGCCCTAAGAATTGGTAGATGGAAAACAATCCCTACAGTTTGTGTGCCAGTAACAGGTTATAATTATTCTCACACTCAGTTTGTAGGCAGACAATTTCAGTGTAGAATTTATGTATGATAAACATATTGGTCAGTATGAATGAAATCCAGTCAAAACAGCTGAAACAGATTAAATGTTATCTTCAGGTTTCAATGATCTTAGGATTGAAGTACCGACCTATAGCCTATACCATTCAGAAAACCAGACGTCTCCTTTTGTGAAATCATTCCAAGGCCAAAAGATGGCCAACAAAGTCTTTGTGATTTCATACTGAGCCCAAGTAACGCATTAGTAAAAAGAATTTATAGTATATTAAAATGAGAATGAAGTTATGCGTTTTGAAGGACATGCTTTAATACTATCTTACAGACTGTTCAGAAGCGGGGCGCTGCGGTGATTGCAGCACGTAAGTTGTCGTCAGCAGTATCTGCTGCGAAAGCCGCAGGAGACCACATGCATGACATATGGCATGGAACTCTTCCTGGTCTGTTTGTGTCTATGGGTGTCATTTCTGATGGATCATATGGTGCACCTAAAGATGTTATATTTTCTTTTCCTGTTGTTATTGAAAATAAAGAATGGAAGATTGCTCAGGTAAGTCACACTTGCCTGATAAATTCCGTCCCAAAATCATTACTCATCCTACCTATTGACACAACCACTTAAAAAAAAATATCTTTTGTTAGAAATTAATCCCTCATAAGGCCCAGCTGTTTCATCAGAGAAAGTTTATTGTTAGAAATTAATCCCTCATAAGGCCTAGCTGTTTCATCAGAGAAAGTACCGGGTCTACAATTTATGCTGTAACGGCCTTGCTTGCATTGCGTGCTCGGCCGAGTGCACTGTTGGTGTGGGATAGAGATGGCGTGTTATTCCCGTGAGTCACAGGCGAATCAGTTTCAGTGCCGCTAGTAACAGCGAACTACGAATATTTCTCGTCACTAACACATGTTATTACATTAATTTTCTTACCTTAAATCACAAAAGATGTTCAAAGTGACTTCCTTGTGCTTGCAGGCAAGCTTCACATCTCGTTAACATGTTTCGAAATACTTGACGAAGCTCTTCTTGGGAAATTGCCGAAATGAATTGTGGTTTCCTGTTCTTCTTTTTATCCAAAACTGATCCCGTACTACAAATTTTTTTTATTAATCTCTCTATCGTGGGCCTGCTAGGAACACTTTCACCGGGAAAATGTCTGCGATATTTACGGCGGCATCTTCCGTAGGATGAATATTTGGCATATGTTTCGACTAAGAACACACGTTGCTTAATACTGTACACCATATTATCAACGTCAATCCGCGACGAGAGACGCAATGAAACTGATTCGCCTGTGACTCACGGGAATAACACGCTATCTCTATCCCACACCAACAGTGCACTCGGCCGAGCACGCAATGCAAGCAAGGCCGTTACAGCATAAATTGTAGACCCGGTATGTTGTGGATAAATCTGATAATATTTTCCACTGCATGTCATTTTCATAAATTTTCATGAGAACATGCATCCAATTATTTTTCTCATGAGAGTGGTGGAAAGGTGTGAATTATGAGCTGAAATATGGTAATTATATGATATTGATTTTGTATACAGTAAATTGTGTTGTGTCCAGGGTTTACAGATAGCAGACTATCACAAACCTCTACTCGAGGCCACAGGCAAAGAACTATTGGAAGAGAAATTTGAGGCTCTGGAAGTGTGTGAACACTGACTGGCATTGCCCCCAACCATGCCAACATCACGACCGCGTTGCAACATGTAGTAATTTGTATGTAGCCAGAAGATGCTCACTTTGTGACTCGACACCAACCACATGGCGTTTTCAACTGACATCATGGTTGGAGGGCATATTCACCTTATGTTGATGAAAAGGAGAACATATTTTTATATGTGTATTTTGAAAATTTGTTGACCATATTATCCACTACCTCACAGTGGTACTACACTTAATTCCAAATATTCTAATATATTTTAATCAAATATACATTGTATCATATTAATGGTTTTTATGTTTCTTGATTCAAAAACAAGTCATTATAATTTGGTATTTTGAAATGTCTGTACAAGTATATAAGGGTTTGAAAAACCACTGCAGCTAATTTTTAAGTGCTGGATGGAGGATGTATAACATGCTCTGTCCCCACTGAACGCAGTGTAGCAATCAAGCATATGTGTTGCATTCAGGAGGTTATGGTTTCAAAATTAGTCCAGACTGGCTATCATAATGCCTTTCATGGTTTTCTCCACTTCCAAACGCTTGGCTTACGACCGTTCACATTCATGATCTGTGCATCAACAGTTTGCATTAAATAAACCAAGTAATAACTTAAATGAATTTTATAACCATATATAATTTATTATTTGTAATTATATATAAGTAATTAAAATATTCTGAAAACTATCCCTACATATTTTTTTTAAATTTCAACATATTCTGAGGCATTATCAATGTGTACATTATTAAACATCTACACTGATGGACTGCGTGAACACATCTATTGAAAAAAATTCTATATCCAAACAGCAATATCAAATGTACAAAATTATTCGGTGTTTTGGAATTATTTCAGAACCAGAATAGGGTCTAATCTGTGAACGGTGGGCACTTCCTCAAACTTACACTGGATAGAATACACAAACATACTCAGATTGACATTGAAGGGGTTAGGGTTTGATACAGCGCCAAGACTGATGCGGTCTGATTACATCCCAGGTTCTCATCCGTTGAAATATTCTAAATCCTGTACAGACATTTCACTGATATGTATTCAATTTAGCACAAATAATTCTTCATATTGAATATTGCAACAGGTGGTTGGTACTCCAAACTGTGTTGTCATGTGAAAGGGAATAGGCTGAAATGGTGACAGAAAAGGGTTATTGTTATTTGCTGTATAGGATATATATTGCTTGTATTGTAGTATTGTGTATATGCTGTTGCATTTCTGAGCTTTCAGCTTCATAAAATTTTAAACTAGTATTTGTTTCCAAATGGCAGGAATCATTTAACCTTAGCTACAAGTATATGCTGCATAGGTTGCCAGGAATTACTCCGACATTCAAGATATTTATTTGGGCTATTGCATTTAGCATCACTTCTTTTTTTTAGGTGAGATTATAAAAATGGAACCTCAAAGTGAATTGCATTTGTGAATAAAGGTTATTTTAAGTGGCATACCACATGAGTAATGAATTTATTTACAGTTTACTTTACGGTCTTGTCAGTAGTTCAGACTGAATAGTAGGACAATGTGGCTGAGATTTGATTACAGGATTTCCCAAGTATGAAGCAGGAGTGATAACCACTCAGTCACAAATAATAAAAGTGTTTGACTTTGTATTACCAACACTTCTCTGAGGTCACGTTCCACGAAGCAGGTTGGCACAAGTAACATATGTACAGTATTTCCATTCAGGAGGTATGCAGTCCATAAGATGGGATTGACTGGCCGTCCTACACCAAACATTGACATCTTAAAATAGACCATGTTAGCTTCCTCTCGAACCTCAGAAACTGATACATTATTGTAAATTGACTAACCAGACAACACTGTGTATGGACTGGCACCCTGATACATGTTTCATTCAGGAAATACGGGTGCAGTAAGGCAGGAAAGCCAGACAATCCACAGTCTACACCTGGAATTTTCAAATGCCTAAAATAGTTGAGATGATCATTTTATTATTATTATTATTATTAAGTGTTCTGTCTTACGACAGGTCCATTGCTCTGCCCAAAAAGAGCTCTCCAGTTGTCCCTATTCTCGGCTTCTCGCTTTAATTCCTGGAACGTCATCTTCTTTCCTTGTTTAAGGTCGTCGGTTAGCTGTATCAGTCTTCTTCCCAGTCCTCGCTTTCCTTCAACCTGGCCTTCGATGATATCACTCATTAATCCATTCCTTCTCATAATATGTCCCAGCCAGTTAGCTTTCCTTCGTGTAATGGCTATTTCGGCTGATGCTGATCATTATGAATATGATATTTATGATATAGAATTTAGTGCCAAATAATCACTGTTCAAGAGTCATGTTGCACAGCACTAAATGGTTGATTGAGAAATGCATTAACAGAAGCAGACAAAAATGATTCATGGCAGAGGTATCTTATCATTATTTCCTGCAGAAACAGATCAGGACAGCTCATCACCCATGAGGCTGAATAAATTAGTCTACTCGTTTATGGTGAGGGGTCCTACTACCCAATCCCCCAGATGGAGGGCTATCCCATGTCAGCTATGTGCAAAATATTCTCCATATCAGATTACCCAGTTACATGTAAACAACACTATTCTTCCACATTTGTTTATCCAAAAATAATTTCCTACTATTATGTCCTATAACATTAGTGCTCTCATTTCTAAATTTAAATCTGATTCTGAACTAAGGTATAATAACAAACACATTAAGTTTGGCATGACAAAACCACTCAGCAAAATGTGACCTGTCACAGTGTGTGCACCTCAACTTATGCTGCTCAGCAGCACATCTGGTAACAACACAGAATTTGTCACCAGGTTACTGGATATTATTACCCACGTGACTGCAGTGTCTAGTGATTCATATTAATATTTAGCAGAATGTAGGTTAATAATTCAGAGAATAGGTTATTTATATTTTATTGATCCTGAAGTGAGCGTCAGAACATAAATCACAAAACATATCTTCATGATTAACCTGAAGCCTTTCTACAGGTTGCTTAACCTTTCATATTTCTTCATTCAGCGGTTCAAGAAATACCAAACATTCGTTCATAGAAGGCAACATACATTCTCTAAACACACTCACATTCACATATACCCCACCCTGAATTAGGCAAAGTAGTCTTCTTCTTCCTTCTCATAAGCACTGAACAGTAATACATATTTACAATCAGGTTATCCAGGGGGAAAAAGTTCTTTCTCACAATAATCCCATTTGCTTGCACATCCGTTCCTGCCATGCTTTTTTTTTCCTGCTGTTGTGCAATAAGGCACAAGTAAAGAAATTAAGCAGCCTTATTTTCATCATTCATTAAACCAAGACTCCTTTACTTTGCCCACGCAAGTTGCACAAATTAAAATTGTCTCTACCTACAACATATATAGTTAAAGCATTTCTATAAACTAGAAGCTGTTCCACATTGTGACACTAACCTGAAATCAAGCAACAGCTCAAAAGTGTTGAGCCAAGAACATGCCATTTAAGAATCTGCTGGATCTGTAATCCTGTTATCAGCTACAAGTCAACCCAACATTTGAAAAGACACATTTAATCGTGCCGGTAACACTACATCTATTTTTAATTATGCCCTTTGTGCTATTTTCTTAATTATATTTGATTTTATTGAAATTAAAAAAATTGTAATTTTTATTTTTTTGGATGATTCTTCAAGACCATCCAACACTAGAACAAAGGTACCAGTTACAACACAGAGTTACATACAGTAGTACATTTCTATTGCATTGTTCCTTGGGCCTAAGTAAAAGAAAAAAGTGTGTGAATATATTGTGATACATAAATTAAGACTGATATATTCCCCTGTGCTGTGGTATGAGGGCACACGAACTCTAAAACACTTGCCTGAAACATAATGAAACAACAATTTCCATATACAATGGAGAGAGGTTGTTTCCTATGCCAACAATTTTTTTTAATACATATGTGCAACTTCATTTTGCTCTGAAAAATGGAGAAACGCTGAAGGAGTTATGTTTCGTTATAAGCAAAGGACCAAAGTTAAACCTATTTTGATAGGGAGACGGTTGACCATTACGTACAGATTTATATTTGGGTTCAATCGATATCGTTGGGTGCTTGATTCATATACAAATTCTATACTTCAGGAAGTAAACAGCTGAAACTTAATTCCCCTGTTCTGTCATGCTGACCAACAAGCAAATTATTTAATGTCAGTCATAGACAGAACCCTCCTTGTTACAACGTAGCACCTTATTTGCCAAAAAACCAGCAGATCTTAGTTAAGATGGAAGCCTTTTTCTCGTGTGGCTGCCAACAACCGTTCACGTAACAAGTCCTCTGTGGGGTAATCTGGCAGTTTCAGGTAGTGGACACATGTGTTCACTGAGGGGTAACTTCCTTCTCCTGCATCCACTTTGCGCACTACAGTCAATCGAGGATACAGGTTTGCAAGTCCGCCTGGTGGCAGTGATGAACAACCAGTTGTGAATTGCAGAAATGCTTTTCGTTCCTCGGCAGACATTTTGACCAAGACGCTCACAAAACGCTGGAAACCAGGACTGAAAAACAAAGTGAAAGGAACTATTATGAACAATCTGCAAAAAATATTTTCACATGAGATAGATACCACTACTGTAATATATATTATGAATCATACAAATATTACCATCAGTATTACAACATGAACAGAAATTATATCCAAAATTTTTCAAACTTTTATAAGGTTATCATCAGGAGTCAGATCCGCACAATCGTTTAAATGCAAGTACCTTACATATTTAATCCAATTATTTAAAAAATACCATGACAAAAATTCAAAAGAAATGAAATGGCATTCATTATTCTAATAACACACTTAATGATGTTTCCACATTCAACATCCAGTAACGTTCAGCAATTGCATAAAAATTATGAATAACATGTTAAATCTTGGATGTACATACAGGATGCAGCAATGAAACTTGATGGGTTTTGAAATAAAAATAAGTAAACATTTTTTTACCTTATGTTCTTTAACAAAATGAAGCACATTATAAAGCATTCTATGTGCAATGGTTACTTTCCTAAAACTGTATCATGAAGTCTAGCATTTCTCTATACATTTTGTGACAGAGGAACATCACCAGTATTAAAACCGATTATGACCAGAACTCTTGGAATGTGGACAGCAGCCTTGTGATCACCGAGTAGCTCATTTGGTAACAATTTAGTAGCAATGGACTGATGGTCTCCATAACATTGTTCTTACATGGTCAACATGTTTTTTTGGAAACAATTAGTCAGGGTTAAAATTCAATGTATATTTCATTGTCATCAATCATAACAGCAACGTTTCTACTCATAACACAATAAGTAATCGATGATCGTATAAAACGTCAGTCAGGATTGTCACTCTCTAGGTTGACATTCAAACCCAAGCATCACAGATATAAACCTGGAGGGCTAACCACTCAACAGTCATGTATGGAAAATAGTGGACAAGGCCCTGTTACATAACTACAGTGAAACCTCTATCCATCGTTCCCGGAACTATCGTTTTCCCGGATGCATCGTCCGTTTTGTCTGGTCCCGGATACATCCCATATAAAATAATGTTACATTTTCCCGCTTCTATCGTTCCTCGAACTATCGTTTTATCGCATCGATCGTTCAAAAATCTTAGTCCCGGCCCACAATTTTCCCGCAATGATCGTTTCTGAGAATTTAAAATGCTGGGTTTTGAGATAAATTAATACCGAAAGACGCATAATGTTTTTGGAATACACAGTAGCGGTAACCTGTTATGTCGCCCAACCAGCACATTCTTTTGGAATGAGGGTCAGCGGTGCAGGGGTGATAGTTGGAGTGAATGGCGGTGCTCATTGTCAGAAATTTTACGATTTTAATTAGGGTGCACTCATATTTCGTTCCACCGATGCCAGATGGCATGTGCAGTGTGAATTTCTTCACAAATGCTTTTATTACAAGTACAAAGGAAAGGCTGGCGGCACTTTTCATTCTTCTGGTTCATCTCGTTTCCAGCAGTTCAGGGTCTTCTACAGCTACGTTTCGTTGAGTTCGGCAGTAATAGTATTTCCATTCTTCCTGTTATTGTCCGCAAAGGGGGTTGGAGCGGTGACGACGAATGCGAGCCCGAAGCTTTGCCGAGTTTTGCCGAAGC